TATCTATCTATCTATCTATCTATCTATATATATATATATATATATATATATATATATATATATATATATATATATATATATATGTGTGTGTGTGTGTGTGTGTGTGTGTGTGTGTGTACTTTGTTGCTTAGGGATATATTATGAATACATTTAATCATGTGTATTTAAATTAAGGTTTAAAAGTTATTAACCGAAAGTGTGTGTAAATATGTTCAACTAAATTATCTAATCAGAAATAAATTTACAAATGCATATATATTTAAGTTTGCAAATACATATATATTTATTATTTGTGTATATTTTGTTGTCAAATTGAAGGTACGGCTTTAATCATGTATATTTATAACGGTATATTCACTTACAAATTAACAGGATACAGACTTTGACACAACTTTATCTTTTTTTTTTATGAGCAGCAATAAAACAAGCGGCAGTGGATATTGCAACATGGAGGCTAGTAGTCTTAGATGTAGTAGTTTTCAAAGTTTCTTAGATGAGGCATTATCAAATATGATTCATTTTTCACAAAAATAAGTAAACCTCATTTTAAATTTATTTTCTAATCCAGGATGCTAAGTAGATCGTCAATCAGAATGTTGTGAAAAAAAAGAAAAGTAAAAAAAACACCGATATAAATTAGATGAAAAATGATTAACAAAATTAATAATGTCTATATTACATCAAAAAGTATCTATCTATCTATCTATCTATCTATCTATCTATCTATCTATCTATCTATCTATCTGTCTGTCTGTCTCAATCTGTTATCTATCTATCTATCTCTGTTTATATCTATCTCAGTCTGTTTATATCTATCTATCTAGCTAGCTAAGTCCGTTTCTGTCTATTTATCTATCTGTCCATCTATCTCAGTCTGTTTCTATCTATCTATCTATCTATCTATCTATCTATCTATCTATCTATCTATCTATCTATCTCCGTCTCTTTCTATCTACGTCTCTATCTATCTATCTATCTATCTATCTATCTATCTATCTCAGTCTATTCAGATCTATCTATCTTTCTAAACTATATTCTTTTACTTAGGTTGTGTTTGTCTTTCTCTATTCTCGTTTGAGCTAACTGACGTTTGACAAAAGGCCATAGTTTTGTAGCACCCAGTTAAGATCGGTAATTCTCGTCAAATTAAATCAGTCAATTGTTCTGTTAGTGTTTAAAAAGTTGCCATTTAACCAATACACATATTTATATTACTATATATTGACTTAGATTAATCAATATATATCTATATATTTATATATCTATATATATATATGACTTTGGGTCCATGTGTACAGTAATCATTATCTATACGCATTCATACGAAGACATATATTTGCATCAATCAATAGGTATTTGCATATTTAAGTGCAGGTCTATATAATCTGTTCAGTGATTTATTGGGGAGAGGCACAATGTATGTGTGTATTTATATGTACAGTTATATACGTTGGTTTACATAAACATTTTTCAGTATAAACTCTAGTTACGTGGGTTTTTGATTCAACAGACGAAAGTACTTGTCACTTTTTACGTCCAATGAAAATTTCTTATGAAAGTGTGTATATATATGTGCATATGTTTCAACTCGACGAGACGTCCCTAGACATAAGCAGTGGAACGAGAACACTCTAAGCCCGTAGATTAAATAAAGTGTTCTGTTCTCGGTAGATTATATAGATCGATAAACACCTGAGGAAGGCTGGGAGAGGCAGAGGCGATCAAAACGTTGTGATAACAACAACAAAGATGAGGACAATATTCCGAATATAAATAGCGTAAATAATATGTGTATGTGTATTTATATACTTACAGATGTTTGCAGGTTTATATATATGTATAGGTATAAAAAATATGCTATTGTTCACACTTTACAAGGCTTAAGAATAACTAAGGGTAGAGTACTAATGAATTGGTGTATTTTATGGAAATTGTAGATTATGAGGATATATAAGGTAGGTCAGAGTTGAGAGCTTTCGGGTTGAAATCAACACTGCATAGTACAGTTTAATTCCATAAGTAATCCTAAGAAATTTGCTACTCCTCTTTGTGTAGGCTCTCTCTATATATAGGTCACTGAGGGCTAATAAGAGATGCGGAAAGTGAAGAAAATGTTTCTTTCTAGTTTCTTTTGCATAGAGCTGATATTATTTGATTATCCTCATGACATTAGGTTTGTTTACTTTATTTATTAAATTTTCATTATATTTTTGTTTTTTTTTATATAAATTTGATTTTATTTCAATTTGTTTATCATTTTGTATAATTTCTTTATATTTTAAACTTTGATATTCGCTTTTAAAGGAAATTCACTATTCTTAGGTAATGAATTAATAGTTGTTTAGTGTTTGGAACTGTGATTTGGTTGTATATGTGTTTATATATATATATGTGTGTGCGTGTGTATCTGTGTCTGTGTATATATTTGTGTGTGTCTGTGTCCGTGGGAGTGCGTGTATGTGTCTGTGTTGCACGTGCTAGAATTAAGAGAATTAGCACTTTATTAATATATATGCTTTGATATATTTAGGAGCAAATGAACAAATAGGAATATTTATTAAACATTTTTCATATATTTTCTAGAAAAAAATACATATAAGTCTTAGAATTAGTAGTTTGTATACATATATGTATATAAATATATAATTCTATTGAAAGAAATAGATATGTGTATATATATGTGTGTGTGTGTGTGTGTGTATGAATAACTATTTTAAGAAAAAGTGAACTTTTGTGTTGGAACTGTAATGCTGATATGCCTATAAGTAAAAGTAAACCATTATATGTTTTTAATGTTTTCTGTATCTATCTATCTATCTATCTATCTATATATATATGCTTTTTTTTTCATGAGACAATTTGATCAATCTGCATTATTTTGTGATGGAAATATCTGAAAACGTAAACAGATATTTTTAGGCTATGGTCGACAGTATTCATGCAAGCATAAATTACATATGCACGTATATCTCAATTATGGATGAACTATTATATCTAAGAACACACAGACACACATATATCGGTATGTGTGTCTGTGTGTACACTTGTGTGATTAGGTTTTCTAATATAGCTAGTTTTCTCTTCACAGACAGTGACCAGTGTGATCTGTATATACTTATAGATGTTTAAAAGATGACTTTTTTTGTATATACACTTTAAAAGATATGAAATGTGCATATAATTATACTGAATCTAATGTCAAAAGTATGAGATGTTATGTACATATATAAATATATATATATGAAATTAAAAAATATCATCTAGTAAACTTCAGATAAAAAATTTTATATATATATATATATATATATATATATATATATATATATATATATATATATATATGTATGTATGTATACTGGAGACTATGATATAAAACCTTTTATATATTATAAATTGTTAAGCAAATTAATAACAAATTATAATAGATATTTTATGATAAAATTTTGTCACTTTGGACTTCATCAAAAGTAAAATGTTGATTATAAGATAGGAAATATGAATTGGAAATGTTGAAATATATATAAATATATATATATATATATATATATATATATATATATATATATATATATATATATATATATATATATATATATATATATATATATATATATATATATATATGAATCTATTTCTTCAGAAAATATTGTATATTTTATATATGTTTAACAAAATATATATATATATTTGAAACTATTCCCCCAGAATATATTTTATATTTTATATGTTTTATAAAATATATATATATTTGAAACTATTCCCCAGAAAATATTGTATATTTTATGGATGTTTAGAAAATGGCAAAATTGAATAATTCAGAAATAATGTAAGTTTAGTTAACAGGAATTTTTAAATGCTAAATTTATTTTTCCACTTTTCATACTTTTAAATTTTTTTCAAAGTTTTTCAACTTTTATATCACACTTCGAGAAGATAATAATTACCTGAGGTAATGTGTAATTAAGTGTGTTTTTATTTTATGCTTATATAAATTGATCTATCTATCTATCTATCTATCTATCTATCTATCTATCTATCTATCTATCTATCTATCCAATTAACTAATTTATCTATTCATATTTCAAAATACATTTACATACATTGAGAATACATCTATAGAATGTTGATATTGAGACTAATTCACATGTAAATATATATATGTAAATATACAGACAGCATACATTTCGTGTGTAAATATGTTATGTATAGATACTTAGTTGGTATATTTCTGTCTCTTTATATAGCAGACTAATTAATGTAGATTGATGGAAAGTGCGGTTAGATATTTTAAAGTTATGGCTATTTATATATACATATATTAACTGATTATAACATTGTACAAATTTCAAATTTGTGTCAAGTTTAGGGTATCTTACATAGAGTATAAATATGTTCTCTGGTAAAAATTTAGTTGATTTATATGACTCTGATGAGTGTTGCGTTTGCAAAAGTTTGAATTACATTGCAAGATAAGTCAATTTAAACTTATTCATTTATTGACTACATGTTTAAAATTTTATGAAATTTTATGTATTTTGCTTCATATAATGTAAATGTTTATATCCTTGAGGGAAAGTTGCTTATTACATAAAAAACATGATTTCAATATAAAAACACAAACATGAACTTATACAGACACATACACATACACACACACTATATACATATATATATATATATATATATATATATATATATATATATATATATATATAAATATACTTTGTTTATTGATGCATGTCAAATGTAATAACAATAAAAAAATATATATTGAAATCCATTTAAATTAGTGTATATAAAATGTTACAGTGAGTAGATATGAAATATTAAATAATTATAATATTGCATTTATAGTCATTATAACTTATATAGAAATTTATAAGTATATATATATATATATATATATATATATATATATATATATATATCTGTTAAAAGCAAGTTGTTTAAAGGAAAATATATATATGCTGAAGTATATTCTCAAATGTCTCTCTCTCTTTCTACATATATATACATATATATATATATATATATATATAGATAGATATGATAGATAGATAGATGGATAGATAGATAAATAATGAAGAAAACAGTAATAGATATAGATGAATAGATGATAGATAGATAGATAGATAGATAGATAGATAATAGAAATAGTTTTTAATATTTTTCTAAGTACTGTTTGTTGGTATAAAATTATAAAAATAATATATCATTATTTCATAGACAGATAGATAGGTAGATAGATAGATAGATGAATAGATAGATAGATAGATAGATATGAATAGAATAGAACAGATAGTTAAATAATATACTAATTTCTTTTTATATGCATATGCCCAAAAGTATTATATTTTATCAAAATTTGCATTTATCTATTATAGATGCATATATATATATTTATTCATATATGAATTTACATCTGTTCATATGTAATTGCATAGGTTCTGAAATGGATACATGTTATTGACTGAAAAAATACTGTGCTTTCCAAAAGGTATGCTTTCATCCACCAACTTTTCTCATATATATATATATATATATATATATATATATATATATATATATATATATATATATATATATATATATATATATATATATGTCAGGGACATTAATATATAGAGCTAAATATATAATTTGTTAATAAAAAAATAAGATAAAGTTTTTTGTAAATATAGGAGAAATGATTATATTTATGCTTAGGTTTATATGCAGGAACACATTTAAATATAGACATCTATCTATCTATCTATCTATCTATCTATCTATATATATATATATATATATATATATATATATATATATATATATATATATGTATATATAAATATAGATATATATATAAATATAATAAATTTATATTAATAAATATATATTGATATATATATATATATATATATATATAAATATATATATATGTATTTGTATAATAAATTTATATTAATAAATATATATTTATATATATATATAAATACTGATATATAGATATATATATATATATATATATATATATATATATATATATATATATATATATGGAGTGTGTGTATTAATGTGTGTGCATGAATTTAAATGTCGTAATATATAAGGAAATATATCGATTTGTACAAAGAGAAATTATCAACACTTTTTCTAAGTTCATTTTTGCCGGTGACACTATTTGTCCTCTAGGAGGAGTTCATTGGACTAAAGTTATGTTTTCAGTGACATGACTACACATGTGCATGAAGAAGTCGGGAAGCTTGAATTTTAAACTTTTAAATTTATACTGCCAATAGTACCAGTTTTCCTCGAGATTCTTTCTTCTTTATGTTTTTTTAACTATTTTACTATTAAATATTCCTACACAGTGATAAGAGAACATCAGCCAATGAAGAACGGAATATTGTAAGAAGATGGACACAAATTTACTGTCGATGATCTTGTGATCAAAGCACTTTCTATACACTTCTCTCAATTGCTCTCTCTTTTAACTCAAGTATCATTATTTAAATCAAAATTATGGTCAGATTCATTATATTAAAAGACTAAATCCTTGAGTGTGTTGTTTTGTAAAAAAATTCCTTTTCTGTTCATATAATCTTTTATTTAAATTTCTTCAGGTTTCCCCTATGTATTACTTGTAACATTCATTACAGGTGATAGAGTAAATTCCTCCTTCAGGTTTTAGCTTATTGCTTTGTTTTGTATTTCAGTCTTTTATTGTTTTATAAATCTTATGTTGAGTTTAGATCATTTTTTTTTCAGTTGAAGTCAGTTAAGTTTATGTGTATACAAATTCATATGTATTCTGCAACAGATTAAACTCGTCATAAGTAACATGTAAATATAAATGTTTATAGTTTATTATGTAAATTTTTCAATAATAAAATATTGTGCATAATAATATACACCTATATCTGTTTAATGTCTGCTTTCAAAGCTTTTTTTTCCTGTAAAAATAGTACACCTCTGTTTCTCTCTCTCTCTCTCTCTCTCTCTATATATATATATATATGTGTGTGTGTGTGTATATATATATATATATATATATATATATATATATATATTTTTGGATATGTATCTGATCATATAATTATACTTGCTACCATTGATTTATCTGGGTCCCCCACAAATCAAGTTATCTGTCAATAATAATGTTCACAGGGTTTGTTGGACAGTATACTGTTTAATACTGATTCGTAATTTGCATGTTTTTATTGATATATAATATAAATATATAACCATATATATATATATATATATATATATATATATCTACATATGTGAATGCCTATACAAATATATTTATGTATGTTGTTTTAAATTTACTTATATCAGCATAGGTACATATATATACATCAAAAGAAAGTAAATTTTTATGAGGAACTTTTGCAGCTATCACAGTATACATGACACTAATTGGTCAGTATAAAACATTTGGTGTTTTTCGTGATCCAAATATTGTATTATATTTCATGAATTTGTTTCCTGTTGCAATAAGGTAAAATGAAAATTGTAATCCGTAGGAACCATCCGATAGATGTAGAAACTTTTATCCTTTGAAACTAATTCCAGAATATGTAATTTTTTTTTTTTTTCATGGAGTATGTATTTTGTCAGCACTTAGTAAATGGGCCGTTTGATAAGTGGCTGGGGCCGTTTGAGTTGTTGGTAGATCCGTTATTCAATGAAGCTGTATATGAATTGAGTTGATCTATGTAGATTAGGGTGTTTCCCTGAACATCGATATTGAAGGAGGATATGGTTGGATGACTGGGTGATGGTTCGATAGTTTGCAAGACGAACGTAGGGTGGGGACTACTGAATTCTGTAATAAGTTTCAATGAAATGTTGTCTTGGCTGGTCCTCTGTGTGATGGGACAGTTTCAGGTGGTGGTGGGCATTAATGATGGGAGGAGGGAAAGAAAAAGACAAAGGAGAAGAGAAAAGTAATGAGGGACAAACAGACAGAAAGAGAGTTGGGGGTTGAGAGAGAGAGAGAGAACAAGAAACGAAACGAGTGAGTGAGAGAAAAAGGGTGATGGTGAAAGAAAGAGAAAATTCAGAGAAGAAGAAGAAGAAGAAAAAAGAAGAAGAAGAAAAGAAAAAGAAGAAGAAGAAGAAAAAGAAGAAGAAGAAGAAGAAGAAGAAGAAGGTTTAACAAAAGTGATTTAACAGGAGAAGGCTATTGGAGAGAAAGAAAATTTTATGTATGTGACTGGTGTGTGCAAGAGAGAAAAGAGAGAGAGAAAGATATATATATATATATATATATATATATATATATATATATATATATATATATATAGAGAGAGAGAGAGAGAGATAAAGAGAGAGAGAGAGAAAGGAGAAAGCCAAGAAGAATAAAGAAAAAAAGGAAAAATATTTAGCAAAAGGGATATAACAAATTTTTGAGCCGAGAGAGTGAGAATATAAACAAAACCTGAAGGAAAGAAACAGTTTAGCAATAAATTATGTATTGATTATAAATGGACGGTTACTTGATGAGATAAATATAGAAATATATATATAGAGAAAGAGAGACAGAGAGAGAGAGAGAGAAAATAGAGAGAGAGAAATAAAAGTAGAAATAAAATTAACAAGGCAGGGAAAATCAAGTACAATATTGGAAGAAGTAATATATATATATATATATATATATATATATATATATATATATATATATACTTATTTACTACTAAGCTTAGTAGCAGAAAGAGACAGAGGAATTTAGTTGTGAGGGATATAAGAGGACAAAAGAATCTATAGTATGAAATGGAAAAATTCGAAGACAGATAGATGATAGATATGAACAGACTGAGATAGATAGCTAGCTAGCTAGCTAGATAGATATGGACAGAAATATATATATATATATATATATATATATATATATATAGATAGATAGATAGATAGATGAATAGATATAGATAGATGAGATAGATAGATAGATAGATAGATAGATAGATGAATGAATAGATAGATTTTAGGAGGCTGAGATAGATAGATAGATAGATAGATAGATAGATAGATAGATAGATATGAACAGGTGTCAGTGTATGTGTATATATATATATATATATATATATATATACAGAGAGAGAGAGAGAGAGACAAGGAGAGAGAGAAAAATTGAAAATGACCAATATAGATTGATCAGTAAAGAATAAACTAGATGCAGACAAAAAGATAGAAAGTTAGAAAGAGAGAGAGAGAGAGAGTGAATAAGAGGGAGAGAGAGAATAAGAGAGAGTAAGAGAATAAGAGAGAGAGAGAGAATAAGAGGGAGGGGGAGAGAGAGAATAAGAGGGAGGGAGTGTGAGAATAAGAGGGAGGGAGAGTGAGAATAAGAGAGAGAGAGAGAAAATAAGAGGGAGGGAGAGAGATGATTCTCCCAAGTGTAAATAAAAGAGAGATAATTTAAAAGTTAGGGAGAAATGCAAGCTGTGATCTGGGGAAAGAGAGAGACAGAAGAAGAAGAAGAGAGAGAGGGGAAGAGAGAGAAGGAGAGTGGGAAGAGAGTAAGATGGATGATGTCTTCAAGTTGTTGATACCTAAGAAATATTGAGTTGATGGGAGGAGGGACGAGAAGTATCTACGAGGGAGGAAAGCTCATGAAACAAATGTGGGTATACTAATTTGAAAAACTTAAAGTACGAGAAAAATCAGACATTTAAAAGGCAGACAGGAAAGTCGAGGCAAGGAAAAATCCAAGCGAGTGGTATTTAATCAGATGAGCAGGAGACGAGGAGGCTGAAGAACGCCAAGTGTTAAGTGACCGCGTGTTAGTCACAAAGACTGGATGTTGTTCAGCTGAGAGAATAGGATTTTAAATCAGACAGTGTATCAACATAATTAAACGAAAAAGAAAATGTCCGTAATAGAAATGGAGCATATAAAAAAATTATAAATTTCATGAAAATAAACATTCCTCAATATTTAAAAAATCACATGACTACGAGGTAAACTCTGAAAAACCTAATAATTCAGTATATATATATATATATATATATAT